TGTCTCGCACTATAACAAATTTAGCTGTTGCCTGTTGCTCCTGGTTGCATCATGCAGATACAAGGTAAGTCAATGTCACCTGCTCGGCCTAATTGATTCCCTCAGAATTAGCAGTCAACTCAGTATGTTTATAACTTAAGAGATAATCTGTAATGAACTTGCACTTTCACTTTTTAACTCTGGCTTCATTGGTATGCATTAGAGAAGCACAGGGTTGTCAAATACATCTTGCTCTATTGTTCAATTATTTCCTGCATAAAGGTTTAAGGGAGGTGCCGAATTGGACGTTTGGGACAGAAGAAGTTAAGAACGTTGTGGAGGTGGGAAACAAGGTAATTGTAATACATTTTCATTCAAGCAAAGTAGTCAACTTTCTCTTATGTCAAAAGTTCTCAAGCAATCAGTTTTGTTCTCTGGAATGGGACAGGGTTAATATCATGCTTTGATTGTTAGCAAGTCTGTAGTATTTTCAAGTATTAAATAACTCTGCTCAACATTGTTATTTCTTAGGTTGAATAAAATCTTAATACCATGGGTTATTTATAAAACAATTCTTCAATACTAATCAGAACACTCCCTTTTTAAAACCCTACCAATATTTATGTGGTAGAAAACAATACATCAAAGCACTATTTGTTTCATTTTGTTCTGTTGACAAGTAAAATTGAGACAAACTGGGTCTATGAGGGTGAATTTATGCAGAAAGCTGTGAATGAGGACAGCCTGGATCACAATTAAAGCTCCATTTGAAGGAAGTGAAGGGCCCTCCTCGCTGTGGGCACGTTTTACCTGTAGGCCCAGGGCTGCACAGGAGAGGCAGCTGGCACCAAGCACTCAGCTTCATAATTAGTACTCACAATTTAATGGATGTGCTGTGGTATGTGTCTGCTGCAAGACGCCACTGTAAACAAGGAGATTTAACTGCAAAGTGTACTATCCAACATGGCTCTAACCCCATAGAAATATTCATTAAACACTATGGGGGGTCAACAAAATGTATCACTACCACCAACATAATTTTATCATCCCTGTTTGTAACATTTGTGAAGGTGCTGGAGGGGCAATGCTAGCCAGGCTGGTGCCACATAGTGTCTCCGCTCAATTTCATTTTTCTCCAGCGACTAGGTCAAGAATCAGAATACACGGTTTGCAACAACCCCAGAAGCTGTAGAACGCACACTGGCCAATCAGCCAAAAGAGTTGTGAAGCCATGACTGGCCCCTTTTTGTGGTACAGCACAACAGTAAACAAAGTGGTCGAGATGGATGTAGACAAAGTCATACATTCTATGTTGGCAAGGATTCCCAAGATCGAGAATTGTAAGCCAGAACAAACAGAATATTTGGTGAATTTTATCAAGGGGAAAGACATTATTACCCTTCTTCCTACGGGATTTGGGAAAAGCTTAATATACCAGCTAGCCCTGTTAGCAGCACATTGCATACGTCACAACCAAATAGCAGCAAATGGTTAAATAAAAAAGTACTTGCCTACCGTCAAGCAAACGTATCCTAATGCTGCAAGGTCAGACGTTTTTCCACAACCGCCTGAGGAATCAGGCTAGGGCAATACTGGAGCAGTATGGTGCTGATTCATTTTCTTATTTTGAAACTTAAGTCATGACAGCTCTATAAATCCTCCTTGTGGTATCTATGAACACTACAGGATGAATTTGTCCCCATCACAACACAACTTACAGACCTCTCAGATTCACTAATACTGAACACAATACTATAGTGTAAATATCCTACAGAATTGACTGCGATACCTCCAACAATGTAACAAAGTGCAAACTAATGGACCATTGCTCACCACAGCATCAAGTGCCCAATTATGTCTGTACAATTAGGAAGAAAGACAGTTTTCAAGCCAGATAAAGATTTTCTGAATTACAACAATCAATGTAATTTAAAAAGAGACATAATGGTAGCCCTTAATGGACAAAGGTTGAACAACGTGTCCTCTGTGATTCTGCTGACACCTCATTCTTACTTAAATTCCCTTACACAGTTCAAATCTGTGCTCTGTCACAGTCCCGACCTTTACTACAGCGTAATTACACTGTCTGTGGGAATCTAGTGTGACTCCAGCCTGCATGTCTGCCCTTTCACTCATCCCGCTGCGGTCCATCCATTTTCAGATAGAGACTCGGAGCCACGGTGACCAGAGTTTGACAGCTGTGACAGTTGTGCAAGACCCGCGCCCGTCACCCTGAAACCTCTCCATGAGCTGTCCATCAAACTGTGCCTCCCCCCTTCACCTTCCCTCTCCCCCCTTGTCTTATTGTGATTGGGGCTTTGTGCCAGTGAGATAGCATGGCTTGTTAATTAGTCATGCAGAGATTAATTAAAGAGATAGTAGGAGCAGGTTGAGTGGGCCCTTCGAAGGATGCTGTCATTGCCAAGGTGAGGACAGACCAACAAAAAGCTTAATTGGGAGAGGATACGTGTATTTGTTTCACTCTGGTATATTATTTTACCAAGGGACAAAAAGACTGTTTTCCTTCCATTGATTATCACATAGTAATTTTACAACAGGTATTCAAATACTTGCTCTAATGTAGACCGGATTTGGTAGAAACAAGTTGGTGTGTCTCTCACATAATAAAGGATTTTTAATTTAATGTCAGACCTCCTGTCTTTGTTTTTTAATTAACTTTTCCAATGGATCTGTGAAGACCAGCTGATTTTGTACAATATACTGTTGACTGACTTACTGACTTCAAATTGATCACCATTTCTTTTATTGACTATGCCCTTCTTATATTAAAACAAAAACTACAATTTTACTTGTCCTCATCTCTTTTAAATATCAGTTTCCCTTATTGTGGCATGGTTTGGAGCCTTCTATTAGCTTGAGATCCTGCTGCTTACTATTTTAACAACCACACTCTTACCTCAGCACTTCCACAGGCCACTGTCAACTTCTAATAAATGCCATGATGTTGGCATAAGTAAGCAGAGACAGTGGGGAATGAAAGGCTGAGCAGAGGGGCCAGACGTGTAATTGACAGCTGTCACTGTAATTGATGGCCTCCATGCAATGACAAGATAGGACTGGGATAAGTGCATAAGTACTGAACAAAAGGAACCACTGTTGCTCAGTGGCATATCCTGCTAAACGCCAGAATTTCTTTAAAGTCTCATCACTATAAGAACAATAGAATCTAGTAAAATTATTGTCAACCAAACAGTTCTATCATAGTCTACACCAAGACTAGATTAGGGATAATTTAGACATAATAGCCTGACGGATAGTGACCCTTTACCCTGTACTAACCCTATTGCGTAACTGTATTCTAAACAATCCCTAAGCATGCTATCATCCAGTAATAAGAAAATGTCCAAAGACTCAGATAAGGCAAAACAGAGATAACATAAAAGCTCTGAAAATGTAGCGAGTTTTATCCTAATCCTACAAGCTTCAGCCTTGAACAGCAGCTTTGAAAAACACCACTCTAAAAATGCAGAGAAGGAAAGAGCAATCCCTCTCTCACAGACATAACACAGCACAGGAGTGAACTCAGGACACCTTCATCTCCTCTCCATCATAGTCATCATCTGTTGGCATGACCTCACTTTACTGTCAACAAACTCACAGAAAATACAGTGTCATAAAAAGTAAGTAGATCCTTGACATTGTTTGTGCATACAGATTTGATTCATATTCAGCAGGTTGGTATTAGTCCCTGTCTGTGTGGTTTACAGTGGCAATACGGTTAGAAAGAGGGCGGCCATTATTCTTTCAAAACAACCAGGGCACTTGATGGTAAACTATGACTTGAATCATGTGAATAAGTTTGTGATGCAGTGGACTCAAGTTAATCTTAGTTGTAATATTTGTCTTATCAGTACTAATGCGCTAGTGTTCCTCATCTATTTTGGGTCATATAATAAGAAATGGACCAGTCTATCGGCATTTATCACAGGCTGTGTCCAAGACCACTAGTTCCTCTCATTCACTATGTAGGGCACCAGTCTAGTGGACTGGATACATAACCTTTTCCATCTTTATGTGAGCATAAATAAAGACACAACTGTACAAACCAAGAATCAGATTATCAACCCTTTGGTTACTGAGAGACTCGAGAAAAGTGTATTGCTTCTGATGGCATGGCATATATTGTCAAATCCTCTTGATTCACTTTGTTGTAAAATCCATTAACATTTCGGCTCTCAAAATTGCTTTTTAGGGTTTCAATGTGACCAAAGTGCTTTGTAAGTTTTAAATTAATACTGTTATGAAATCTTAACAAAACAATATATGGTTTAGGATACCAGTAATTTACAGCAAAATAATATGAATGCCTGTCACTTTAAATACAAGTAGACAATAGACATTATGAACGGACAAAAGAAATTGATGAAAATAGAATGGGACTGCTGTACTAGGACAAGATGGGATGGTGAGGATATCTACGGTGATTTGAGAACTACTAATACCGTATAAAATATAAAATGAAGAATGTGTTTCATGATGTAACATAGTCCATAGTCTCTGGGATCTCAGCTTCTGATCTAAAGCAACTGTCTCACACTGACATGAAAATACAATGCTAAGAACACTCAAAGAATTCAATTACAACTGCCTCTGATTCAAAGTAAATCAACTCAATGATATTAAGTCAAGTACAATGTCTTACAAAGAGCAAAAAACCTAAAAGCAGCAAAAATCAACATCTAACATTTGTAAAAATAGGCTCAAAACATGGACGCCTCCAGTCAACGGTGTAGTGATGTTGTCCCTATTTACAGTCCAACCACTGGTCTCCAAAGACTGGCTGCATTGAGGAAATGATTTTGTCAAAACAAGAAAAAATTGTAAAGGCCCATGTCAGAGATTACCATGGAGCTCAGGAGGGCGTTCAGACTTGGAGATAGAAAGAATATAAAGGGGTTGTTATTGTTCGGTGTTTCCCGTGGAGATTAGCAGGGCAGAAAAGGGGCGGTGCCAAGAGTGGTGAGGAGGAAGTGGGCGGGTTTCAGAAGAAGTGGGTGGGGTTACACATTTTAGGTGTTACAGGTGGGAAGGCAGCCGGCATCAGGAGGAGGAGACAGAGGGCGGACGGGTGTGATATTTGGTTCAGAAGTGGGCGTGGCCGTGGTCATGCTCCGCCCCATGATGCCCCCCCTCTCTGTGCCCGTGCTTCTTGTGCTTCCTGCGCTCCCTCCTGCCCTTGTGGTGATGACGTCTGTAGCGATGGGCCCTCCGTGCTGTACAATGGACACAAAAAAGATTTATTAGGGAGAGATGAAAGCCAAGACAGAAGAAGCAAGAGGCAAATCAATCACTGACAAGTACTAGAGAGAGGTGAAACCAGGCAACACAAAGCAAAAATAGAGGAAAAACACTTTGGTCCAAACTATGCAGATTTTTGGAGTTGTATTTTAGTTAATGACAGGATTTCTTAAGCCCACCGAGCTAGCTACCCACGTCGTAGCACTGCCATAAGCCTTTTTTGTACGGTGCTGCCAAATTCCCTGTCCCCCTTCTTTATTTTGCCAACAAAAGCAAGTCGCCTGCAATGAACGATAACAGCTCTAGAACTGTGGACCATAAAAACTTTTTTTCACAACACATCTTAATCACTCAAAACAGGGCACTGCTATTTTACCATTTATCATAGCTGTCACAGTGCAGTGAAAGAAAAGAAATAACAGTTTATTGATTATTTATTTTCAGCAGTGTATTTCAAAAGATTACTATAAATAATTTGGCAGTGGTTAGAAAATCCTGTTTATAGGATTTGTAAGTGTATTAATTAAAGATGGATCGCATCGAACATCTTTTGTATTCATGGAAAATCCAAGCTGTTGTCAGTTTTGTTTGTACTTCAAAGGAGACCCCAGCACTTTGAACTGACCCATAACATTTCAGTGTAACTACCATCACTAAAGACTTTTGCTAGTAATAATTAATACAGAGACACCCATGCATGTGTTGAAAATTGTTTGTTCCTTAAGGCTTAGTGTGTAGGAGTCTTGGATTTAAGCTCTCCCTAATTATGCAAAATGTACCAACACTGTGAAGAAGGCCATAATGTTATACATACAAATATTTGGTACTCACAATTCATGCAGATGATTTTGGGTCGGTCCCACTTGCCGTTGGCGCGACACTTGGCAGTGGGCACGTGGCGCTGAAGGAAGCCGTCTGCGCACTGGTAACGCACCACTGAGTGAATGTCATAGTGGGAGCGTTTTCGACCAATCAGAAAGGCGTTGTCCACTGAGGGAGGGGCTCCACAAAGCACTGTTGAGAAATAAGAGGCATTATATTCTAAACCTTAACCATAATTGATATGCAGTCAAAGGTCATGTTTGCATAAAGCTGTCAAAATCTTCTTAGCAAAAACACTATAAAAAGTCAACCAAAGAACAATGGATCCCAATCTATACTGAACTTTACATTAATTGTAGACAAGTTCCAAGTAGATCATAATTTGTTTTTGATCATTTTTAGTCTCAGTAGTCTTTAGCACTGTAATTTAATTCAACGGATGACCTACTTCTTCCCAAATATAACCAGCTCTAACCAAAACAGTAACAAGATCAGTGTATGAATATGCACATCTAAAATGCATGTTAATGATAGCTTGGATAAAAGCATAATTACAGTATTCAAATGATATAACCTGCCATTTTGAACCACAATGCAGCTCCACTGAACAAATACAATGCTGTTTCCCAGTTTGCCTTTGCACTTTGTCCAACTCCCTTAAAAAGTGCCTGTTTAAAATGTGACTCAAATGTCTGGAGGCGAGTGAGGCCTGTCTGAGTGTATGAGTGAGTGGGAGGCGGTCAAAGTCCAGGCTGTTTTCGACACATAAAGAGTCAACGGTAGAATCTGATAAATGTTCCCTCTGAGCTGACACACACACCGGTGACACTCTGAGCTTGGGCTTTGGCAGCAGAGCTCTCTCACGTCTTCACAGTTTACACTCAGCGCTGCCAGCCTCTCAGCAGTGGTGCCAGGTACATTTGTGTGTGTAATGCCGCCGTGACCTCTAGATGGCACTCTTACACCTGTGCCCCCATTAGCATAATGTCTGCTAATATTATGTCAACTCCCCAAGTCTAATTGACCTCCTTGTATTTTCATTTGTGCCATCTGACTTGACACAGCACCGAACCTGTTATTAAATCCTTAGAGGGGGAAACGGATCTATTGCTAATTTGAGGCTTGCTAAAAAGACAAGAGGCTATTTAGAAATTCAAGCTAGGCGAGAAAAATCGTTTCAGGTAGAGCTAAAAGGACATTTTAAGAATGCTAATTGCGACTGTGCTTTAATGAATCTTTTTATTCTAATACAAAGACATAAAGGCTCTCTGAGATCATGGCACAGAAAAAAAAAAACACAACATAAAAAAACAACCTATGTCTGTTCACTTCCCTTGCACCAAACAAGAGCAGGCCTTTAGCATTTAAACTTGAATGGAGACAGCAGGTGATGCCATCTGGCTTAGTTTCAAGTTAGATCTATAGAGAGGCGAGCCTGCTCACAGTAAGATAGCATGTTTTTCAATGTATTTTTAAGCAATGAAACACTTCTATGCCAACAGAGCAGTAGCTCCATGGACAGGTGGCAGAAGTCTAATATGAACATTTAACATGCATTTAAAGGTCCAATATTACACTAAATTGAGCTTTTAGCTATGTTATAATGTTATTACTTATCAAAAACATACCCGCTGTGTTTAGTTTCATTCACACATGTTTGACTAATCCTTTATTATTAGTTTACATCTCCAAAGTTCAAAATGCTCTGTTCTACCTTGTGATGTCATGAAGTTTTCAAGTTAACAGCTACCTTTTACCTTTACCTTCAGTTCAGTAGAGATTGGCAATACCAGGGTTGAAATCATCCAAATGATTCTAGTAAAGGTGTGGAGAGTTTAAAAACACAGTGGAGCACTTCCTGTATTACCACATGACATCATCACAAGGTGGAGTGTTTTCCATCTGAGAGAAGAATATGTAAGGTTTGTGTCTTAAAAAAACAAACAAACTGTATTTATGTTATTGATGAGGAAACAACATTATAAGTCATAAATCAGTGTTATACCTCAAATAATGTCAACATTATTCAGTCTTCTATACACTCTTTGTTACTGTAAATAACAGTGTGATATGTTACATAGTGCAGAGATGTGTGAGTGCAGGTGGAACAAACTCTTAAAAAAAGGTAAAACTCTTCTGTGACATTAGGATTTGAAGGCAATGCACCAATTAGTGGATATTAGTAACACCAGTGTTGGATCAGCTGTGACAAAGGCAGTCTGCAAATTAGCTCCCCATTAGCACTCATGTACCTGCTCCCCATACAAATGCCTCCTGATAGCACAAAGAGCCATGCCATCCTTACAAATAGTGTAAAAGTCACTCTGACTTTTTCCACAAAAGCAGTTCCTCTTAATGCTCTACTGTCCTGTTACTAAAGGAAAGAACTTTTACAAATACTGGTAAAAAGAGAGTTCTAGGTTTTAGTAATTCATTACATTTCAGAAACATGTTATGAAGTAAAGTGACAAGTGTCGGTTGGATACATGATGATCAAAGGTAGGTACATACAGCTTCTTTCTGCCCTGAATATTAACTCCTCCTGCCTAAATATTTGATAAAATACTTTGCTCTGTCATCATAGAGAGCATTATATAAAGATCATTACAATTGTATATAAGTGAGAACAATTTGAACTGTTTCTATATTTAGTTCGAACTTAGAACTTATTGATGGTAAAAAGTAAATAATTTCAGTGTTAAGATTCAGTCCTAATAATGTTGCTATTATTGTGCTTCAAAGCGAAGTGGGGCCATTTTCAAAACTGCACTATTGTAAAAAATCTTCATCACACTTCCCCTACAAGTAAGTTTGAAGTTTCCACTTAAGTCTCAAAGAAATTTTTCTGAAAATATTTACCTCTTTTGTTGAAATGCCCTTGCCTAATAGCTGGTTAAGCAGTTGTGTTTTTTGCCCTATTGAGAGAATAATACTCCTTCAGAAGAGGCCAGCCAATCAGGGCTCACCTTTCCTCCTGCAACAATCAGAGGCTTAAACCAAAGCAAAGGCTAAGGGGAGCTTTCAGGTGTGATTGGGAGGTGCTGAGAAGAGTCCGTGTGTTTTCAAGTGGGGATAAAAGAAAATGTCACTATAGTTGGGGTAAGTGAGTGCAGGAATGATTTTATGAGAGAAAGGTGTTTTGACGAGTAAAATGGTACAAGGACAGCACTGACAGAGCAGCTTAGAGAATCCAAAATCCACTTCGGAGAATATCCTGTATGCAGGGGCTTAGCCATTGGAAGTAGGCACCAAAAATAATGTATAAAATTTTAAGATGTACAGTATAGAGGCAGTCAACTTTACACTCAAAACTAGAGAAAATCTAAAACAATATTATTACTTCAAGGAGTAATCTCTTACTATAACACGCATATATAAAAAAAAAAAAAAAAGAACAAAAATCAAGATAACATCCAGAGTCAGGGTTAAAGTTGTTGGCGTTCATTCTTCAGGCTATAACAATGTAGATGTGAATATCATGCCAAGCTTTTGTTAGCAGCTCTCAATGGTTAGCCTTGAGAGCAAAACTGCAGTTCAAAGACGGCTCAGATCAATAACTTGTCTAAGGAAAAAAATAACACTGAATACCGAAGCACCTATTTCTAACAAATGCCTCTTGACACAGCACAGTATGAATATTTAATACCATAAAAATCAATATGTTTTATATGTAGAGCCTTAGTAACACAGGGTCATATATTTGTCGACACAATATTTTGCCACAATGAAACAGCCAGAGATTCAGCGCATTTAGACCAGAGGACATTTTCACCATTATAGTCTTACCGTCTGTACTGATAATGCTTCAAGATGTTACATTGGGCAATTTGAGGTAAATACAATGGACTATCGACTGTAAAACAAATAAGGGCTGGTCAGGTCAACTATAACTCTGATTTCATTGCTTTTTATTTCTTGTTGTGGTGAGTCAATGATATAAGAGTTATACTGCATTAACTACAGAATTTATGTGAAGTAAATAGTGGTGGTTATGTGGAGTGAATAGTTAGTCCCCTTCTGCAAAACAAAATATTCTGAATACTAATCTTAATTTGGGCTGAAACTCTCCCCATGTGAGTCTCATTTTCCTCTGTGCGTTTTGAATAATAATGTGTGTTTATGAAGAGCAGCACTAACCGAAACAGATGCCACACTATGCACACCGTGACAGTAAATCTATTGAAAACAACAACATATTTAGCTTCAAATAAAAAGAAGATTCAAATTTGCAACGTAATTCCCAACTTAATAACAACTTCATGCATCAATAAACAAAGCTTAAATTCATACAATTTACTAATATGCATAATAAAAAGAAATATACCAGTACATAAAACACATTTAAAGAGTGGAATAATTCTCCAATTATTCTCAAATGATTGGAAAAGGATTTGAAGAATGACAGCTAAGCGCCCACTTAAATGTTTAAATTAATCTGTAATTCATTTGTTAAATGCTTAGGTGCACAGCCATTACGAGCAGGATTACTGTGTATAAGAAATTGTCTTTTTCTTTAGAATGTTTATTATTGGAATGGATAATATCCTTACAATTTATTTTCTTTTTAGCACAAAATTTAAAAAGCCAGTGAAGGCATGCTGAATGTGCTCTGCAATCTCTATAAAAACAAAAAAACATGGACCCAACTAATTCTTAATCTAGCAAAGGCAAACAGATTCCACACTCATATTACTAATTAAAAAGACCATTGTCTTTTCCAACATTATTGCAACAACAATGCAGCCTTACAGTGCTGCTGCATAATGAGAAAAAATAAATTTCAATCCAAAAGTGTAAGGTCCTTCATATTAACTTCTCAGACTGATGCCACAATAAAGACCAGCTCACCTAAATATCTCAGAAATGTGTCAAATGGCTTTAACTCATGTTTCAGGTCAGTAGTGTATTGTACAATTCTGACCTGCGTTAAATCTCAAAGTGAAAGTATTTCCTTCTCAAACTCAATGTTGCACCAGCGTTGTCGCACAGTGTAACCAGTGCCCAATTTCCAGCGTGCTCCTGACCCTAATAAGTCAATTACAATCAGCCTTGTCTTTTCATCTCCCCGACTCCCTCTGGAGGCCATCTTGTCTCCTCACTCCAACCCCATGTAACGTCTACTGTTATCAGAGGAGTTGTGTGGCACCACGCTGGTTCCTCTCTCCAATCGGGCAGCCTATAGTTTGTGTGTGAGCTCATCAGACACCCACAGGCCTGATTAAGAGATAAGTGCAGCGTGTTTCCATACAAAGACTCATGTAATCATCTGATAGAGCACCAAGCGAGGAGAGGAGGGAATGAATTCAGGCCATCACCATTTATAATATTTTAACATTTGGATTCACAGGGTAATGGTATTGAAAAAGTTAGCAAAAGTTATGGAGAAGTGGGACTTTTCCTTCCTATATTTAAATGTAGGAAACAGTGAATAAAATGATTTTATTGGAGCCTCGGCAATAACAGCTTTCAATTCAACTGTATGCAGCTGTGCTTTTAACCCTTGCACTATTGTGTTTTTAAAGTACTAAATTCACAACTGAACCTGGGTTGCCAGTACCTTAAACAGAGGACACATACAAGCCTAATGCAAAAGATCAGAAGATCCAGAATTCACTCACTTGCAGAGGCTGCACTTGTCTAGCACTGATTATGATCAAAAAGAATTCAGATAAAAAATACTCATTTTAGGACAGCACTGAAAATGAAATTATAACATGGCTATTATGTCCAGTTGTGTTATCAGTAAAAGAAATATTTGATTTGAACATGTATCTCGTATGTAGGTGTTTTAACTGCAGTCAGAAACCTATTATAGGCTACATGCAGGTTATTCATTTTTGCTTTATAGAAATGTAACTAAATCATGTAGGTTAAGGGAATTCTAGATGAGAAATGAAAACACTTCCAGAGGACTTCAGAGGTTTTAGCCTGCAGCCCCCCGTGGTTTGTTGTGTCCCAGTATCTCTTGCCTTACACTGGACCCATTACTGTCCACCTAAGTATTAATATGTATCTGTCTTGTTGCCATTGGTCAAAGTCTGCACTCTATGCAAATGTGGGGCCAGAAAAAGCTCTAACAAGCTCTCAAAGGGATGTGTCCTGGTCTCACCACAGAGCTGGGACTTAACAAGGGCCACAGGTTGGTTTCTGCTCTGAAGATTTTGAGAAAGTAACTGGTGTTAAGATTCAGTCCTATGGCAAATACTGCTTTTTAGGGGTTGCCTTAGTCCCTTCTCTTTTGAACAGGATATCTCAAATCATTCATTCCTTTTGTCTGTGTATGAGGAATATGTGCTGAATAGGTGTAGTGTAAATTTTATCTATGTTCTGTGTTAGATAATTTTACCCAGACTGTTAAGCATTATAACACTGTGGCTATGTGTCTGTTTTACAAAGGCAGTTAGTCATAATGCTTATTCTATTCGAAGAGCGTATATTTAATTCCAAAACTTACAGAGAAACTTAATAGAGAAAAGTTGATGGAAAAGAGTACTGTGAGATGGAAGTCACGATAAGTTTGAAGTACACAGACTGATTGAAGTGGCCCTTATCTAAGTCTATAGCGTATAATTAGTAACTTAACTTCCAAACACAATTTCACATATGTACTGTCAACTTCTCATGAATTTTATCTTTTAGGTTTTCGCCTGTAAGAAATTCAAAAACTTCCTGGAAACGATGGTAGTGCAAAAATGCATCTCCTTTGCCCTTGTACCTTCAACTCCAAAGTTTTCTCTCACAGATTTTTACGCTGCTCTCGAGTTATGCCTCCTCGAGTCTGCCTGTCAGTCATCCTAATCACTTGTAGAAGCCTTCTCTCTCTCTCTCTCTCCCTCCCTCTATCTCTCTCCCTCTATCTCTCTCTCCCCTGTCGCTCGGCTCCTCTCACCTGTTCCCTTTTTGCACACGTAGGGCAGATTGTAGTTGCAGGGCACGTCGTTCCATTTGCCATTCTCGTGAGCGATCATCACCACGCAGTCTTCTCCTCCAGCGAAGAAGTTGTCGGGTTGGTTTTCACGCCAGTTCTCGTATTGCTGCCAAAACACAATACAGAAAAAAAACATGAATGCTTGCATTTTGGTCTCAGTGGATTTTACACTAAACTTGGCAACTTCTTATATGTTTCAAAAATCTGCAACTCTGACAAAAGTTGGGACACTACAACAGTAAGTAAATAAATACAGCTTTATCTGCATTTTAGGGGTAGAGATATTTTGCTGTGAAATCAAATTTTTGGCACAAGGTATTAGTTATCCCAAATGACAATACTATATATAATTTTTATGTCTTCTGTATAATATTGTATTTTGTTGCCATCTAAACATTTAACCCTCTCAGGCTCAAATTAATTAAAAAAAGCTCAGAAAATATGGATTTAGAGTAAGTAGGTAAATGGAATTTAGCTGTTGCAAATCTGCAACGCCTGCCTGGAGAGGGTTATGTGTTATTGAATATATTCTGAATATAACCAGAACATGAGGCATTCATAAAGAAGCAGAAGGTATTTATATTCATAAAGGTAACAGAATTTTCTGTTATCAGATGTGATATAATGAGACGAAAACATGTTTTACAATATGAATCAATTCATGCAATTTAAGATCCAAATAGACTAAATAAACTACAATCTACTGTTTTCTATCTATATGAGAGCCTGAATGACATAAGATTGCTTGAAAGCCTAGTGGAGAATGTGATGTGAAATGAAGTAATGGTTCAAAGAAGTGTTGGTACTCAAAAAGAGGATATTTAGAGTGGTTTTGTTGAGTACCTGTGCATACCGACCCATTGAATATAGCTGAATATAACCCCAAAATCGAATTAAATGATTTTGGTAATGCTCCAATATGAGTAACATATGAATAGAAATATATTTGGAAAAAGATTTCACATCGCTATCCAGTGTTATTAACAATAATCTGAATCTCTCAGTTATTTTACTTTGCTAAAGGAAACTATTGTTTATCATAATTAAGCTAAATGTGGACCATGGACAATAACTTAAGACATAGAGTAAGACAATGTAATCATGGAATCTCACTGGGGACTAAACAAAGAGCGCTCTGGAGTCATAATAGAAGAGTAATTAATGAATTCATTTCTTTCTCAGTCGCAAAACCCCTGATGAGATAACAAGCGCCCACATTCTCTGTTTCTACATCACAGATTCACTCGATTATAACAAGTGAAAGCAGATAGCAGCAGCAGGAAAAAAAAAAAAAAACAGCTTAAGAAAATTAAAACAGTGCTTCACCAAGTCCATTTTGTCGGTCCACTGGAAATCATCTTCCACAGTTCGGTCATTCAAGCCGATCCACGTGTTGTCATGGCTCAGGCCTGCAGGTGACAATCACAAACAAAAACACTGTAAATAAAATGAAATATAATTGCATTAAATGTTTAGAAAATAATTACCAAAACAATATAGTTCTCCCAAAAGCTGCAGTTTTGAAAATGGTTTGCCCCAGTTTTCTAACCATCAATATTCTCTCAAAATTTCAGACTTTTTCCTGCTGTTTGTATCCTTGCACCAGTACTGTCTTGACTTTTCAGGGTCATAATTTTAAATGATTTCAATCATTAAATCCTAGAATTTCCTGCAGAATGGTAAATATTATAGCAGTCTTTTAAAACACTTAAAAACCTGTCTGTTTTTGGCTAAAGCCCTAAAAATCTTATGTGTCATTAGCATCTCTTTAGCACAGACTTAACACAAGCAAACAGCTCATTATCCAGTGGCTATATGACAGTGTGTGGCTCTAACAATGGGCTGAACAACTGGAGCATGGAGGTCTCCGCACAGAGGGATCAGCTGTAATGACTTCCTCTGGTTCTGCTGGAGATGCTACTCATGAGATCCCTGCCTGAATAAAGCACTTTTTCAATTCCAATATTTTGGTTTTAATCTGGTCTTTTTCAAGCCATGGATGTCTCCTCACACACATGTGTAACAGAATCTCAATCATAGTCTATCTGATTAACATTATTAACAGGCCCATTAATCTCCCTAATGGCTGCCACCGCCTCATCGCAGGGGTGGAGTCGTACATTTTCAAGGCAATTAAACACACTTTTGGAGGAAACTGTGCTTGTGTTGAAGAAGAAAGATGGCCTCTGGATGGATGATGATGGCTTGGCAGCTGGGTGAGACAGAAGGTGGGGCTAGAACAGTGCGGCTGCTGCTGGCCTTATTGAAACACAAGTGGCAGTGGATCAATGCCAGGGGGTAAAGAGAGGAAGCTTTACGGGCGACCAAAGAAAATGTGTACGGATATTAGCATGCTAATGTTGTTGGCACTGACAAATGGCTATCCATTGCCAAACATTTAAGTCCAAGGGATAACAGAAAGCCCACAGTAAAACACAGGCGACAACCCTCCCCTGTCAACACGCCACTTGGAAGCAGGATTGTTTTAAGCACATATCAACAAGAATTTAAATCTAATACCATACTACGGCGTGCTTCATACAACTGTACAGCAACTCACCTGTATGTAAAAGATAACCCTATGTCCTGTCAATCATTATCTAATTTTTTCATTGTTTTCTCCTTACAAACTCTTGTGTATAGCTGAGATATATTTGTTTTACTTTTACTTATTTCTAGGGATGTAACAATAACAGAAATATCGTGATATTGTATTGTCAAAGTTCTCACAATAATATCGTGGACCCTCACAATATATCAAATTACAAGTTTCGTTGCTTAAATTAAGAGTTATGGTACAGCAATAGCTAAAAAAAAAGACAGAAAGAACTACATAGACCATGATCCTTTGCTCCATTTCAGTACAGCCTACAAGAAGAAATAACAGTTCTAAGCACTTGTAAGTCTTAGTTCTTTGGATTAAGTCTTATCAAGGCATTTTAAGAGGAAAAAGTAGCATATTTTGTTAGCCTCCACAAAATATCGCAATAAATATCATGCCATGAGATGTATATCATGCAAATATCGTACCAAGAGATTTGGATATTGTTACATCCCTAATCGTGAGCCTCCCCACCATATCGTGAGCTTTCCCAAGATATTGTAATAAATATCGCATCGTAAGGTTCGTACTGTAACTTGGATATCGTCACACCCCTACTTATTTCTGTAATTTAGTTTTACTTGTACATAGGCTTGTTGATGGGGGGCTTGGGACAAAAAGCCTCACAGTAATATAAATTAATAGGAATGACAACAGACCTTTGTCCCCCCGGTCTACGGCCCTGCTTGTACATACACATTTATATAATTATGCCTTATTTGGTACCAGTCTCTTGCTATTTATTTTGAATTTATTATTACCATTAATATTTTTTCTCTTTGTTATTATATTATATTGTGATGTGTGAGCTACTATGCCCAAATAATTTAATCAATAAAATTTGTCTAAGTCTAAGTCCAATAGTATTTCTTCCTACATAGCAATCCAGTCAGTTGGTACAAACAGAGCTACCCCGCATCGCGGCAAAAGCGCCTCACCTTTTTCCACAACAAATTGGATTCGAGGAAATAATATGACAGTGTATTAAATGTTGTGTCAGAGAGGCTCACATCAGCGCCTACAGCATAGTTTACTGGCATGAAATACTGATACACACGTCAAGGTACCTGAGGATATGTTTTTACTCAAGGGAAAATATAATAAATGCATTAAAGACCAAGAGGCGGTACACATTCATGACTGGGTATGAGTAGACGCAAGGATGAGATGCTTTTGACAGAGAAGGTAATGGTATGGTGCATGGTGAGTGTGGAGTTATATACAGGGAGTTATGGTAAGCTAAAGCAGTGGCAGCAGGTGCACGGTGGACAGACAGCTGTGAAAAGGGTAAACACTGGATTATTTTCATTACTCAGACGACTGGTGGCTTGGCAGACATGATGAGAGCCGTTTGATGGTGATGTATCGTGAAGAGGAAGGTCATATTAATTCAGCTGTAAATAAATGAAAAAAGTGGAATGTTTTATTCATCACTGAAAACAAGTTAATGACCATCTGTATCGGATATGTTCAATTAGTTTTATTCTAAGCATAATAAACCAATCCAAGATAATAAACAATATTGGTTGACAATTTCTGAAATTCAATGCTTTTGATGTGATGATGGTTATCCTTTGTTCATAGAAAAGAGCTACATCAATTGCAGTTATTTAGTGTAGTTCAGTTTATGTGAGCTATTTTGGGCATACATAGAAGCATATATAGCCCAAAGGAAGTAAGCTGGAGCTGCTTATCAGCAGCTACTCCCATACAGTTTCTTGTTCACAGTAGCCAAACTTTTCACTCTATATTATTACATGTACATTATTATAGGCACATGCACATCGTTCTTAATCATCAATTTAAAATCAAACCAAGACATTTCTAGTTTACGCAATTGAAACACATCCAGATACCTACATCCACATAGAGGTAACCAAAGTTGTTCAACCTCTTCTTAACACAAACAATTTATTTTTGAATTAATTCTAAAATTTACCACATTAAAGCATGTCTGTGGATCATCTTAACCCTTTTAAATTCTGATGAACTCTAGGCTAATTACAATAGGCCCGCCCATATTAGTAACTGAGGTTAATGTGAGGTTAACGGTGACTTTAGATTGAAGGCTTACAGAGGCTGATTATGCTATCATCGCCTTTTATATTAGACTGTTCCTGCTTTGTAGAACTTGGCACAGATTTTGAATAACAGCAGTGTGCTGTGAGCCAACCACGTGTATTTGCATTTTGTTTACACATACAATTTAAATGTCAAGATGATTCAACCTTTAAACCTGAGATTTAAATTCAGCCTATGAATAAGCCATAGGAAAAACTTCACTACATAAATTTCACTTTTTTGTTCTTAAATACGCCTCCAACTTTGTCACCTTGAGCACCCTTCTCTTACTCCCTAAAAAGTGCTCTGTCTTTGCAGCTTGATTGGCACTTTATCAAGCTGATTAATTGAACACTACTGGCGCTGCAATCACTTTAGAACAAGGCGTTGTTCAGACATTTCCTCTAAATGTATGTGTCTATTATGTTTGATGTAGAAATCCCACCTCTGATGAAGTTTTGCTCTGCTGCACTGTGGATACTAGCCAGGTGCCCGCTGTGCTCCCTGCAGTCCTTCTCAGCGTCCTCCCACGTGTGTCTGCGGCTGAAGTACCGGTAACAATGTCCATGGAACTTCCTCCAGGAGTGCTCACAGCCCTCCGTATCTGCAAAAGAGATGATTCCATGTTTTATCTATGATGGTGAAGAAGAAAAGGGATTTGGCCATATGCACAGTGCTGTTAGATCACAGAAAATTTTTCACAAGTTTACATTAGCTTACATGTAATTTAAATGCATATATATATATATATATATATATTTTTTTTTTGCATACAATTAGGCAGATATTGTTTTCATATGTACTTTGAAGGCACCATTTTGTTATAAAAAGACATACTTTCTTAGTAATTACTTTGTGAATTATGCTGAATACATTTTCTTTGCCTAATTGTTTTGTGTATCTGTCTGAACCTTTCCCTTTATCCCTACACCTGATTCTTAGTCAACTAAAAGCCTGCCTTATTTACTGTACCTCTAGGACAAGAACAACCAGCTCCCATCCTTTCCATCAATTAATCATTTATATAGCGCTATTCAACACTCCCAAAGTGCTTTACAGCTCATTCATTAATTTACTCCACACTTGGTGGTGATAAGCTATAACTGTAGTCACAGTTACCCTAGGACAGAATGACAGAAGCAAGGCTGCCAATCTGCGCCACCAGCCCCTCTGATCACCACGACACTTGCACACACATCACTTTCACACTAGGTAATGTGGGTAATAGTAATAGAAGTAGCAGCAGTAATAGAAGTAGCAGCAGTAATAGAAGTAGAAGTAGTAACAGAAGTAGAAGCAGTAATAAAAGTAGAAGCAGTAGTAGCAGTTACAAAAGTAGCAGCGATGGTGACATTTCCTTACTTTCTTCTTAGCCCCTTCACCTAAATAAATGCATTTGAACTGTGGCAGAACGCAGGAACACAAGTCTACTCATTCACACTCATATACATAACACCAACAGCAAGTTACCAAGACTCCATTGACGCCAACAGAAAAGGTAATAGCTCTGCACAATAAAGCAATAGGAAGCTGTACGGCTGAAACACAGACATGCCCATTACTTTATTTTGCTGTGCCACAGATAACATCCAAATTGTCCTGGAGCACTCACTTGTAAAAAAAATATCCTATAAGTGTCCCTCCATCTTTTCCCCTCTCTGTCTCTCTCTCTAGCCTTTGATTCCATTTTAATTCACAGCACCCGCGGAGAGACAGCCAAGTCCAGTGAAAGGGCATTTTAATCTATTGAAATGACAACAATCCTTTGAAATACCCTCCAGTTCGGTTGGTAATTAAGCCCTGTCACTGTCCTGTCAGCTCTACCCCCTTCCCTTGGGATACATGCAGTAAGTGACACTCTCCCTGCTCCACCACTGTGACTTCTTCTGCATATATATCCAGCTGCTATGTAAACTAGACAGCTCAGACTTAATGTGTCAACTGGTCTTCCTCTCAGTCGTGGTGTAGAGATCTGGGAAAGGGACTTGAGCTTCCGCTCTCGTAAATCTATAGTGACACCGCCGAATTGGCCGGTGCAAATTGTGCCGTATGCAGCTGTGTTTAGTATGCAGCCCGTTCGTGTGGTTGGCCAGAGTTGTCCATTAGAGAAGGCACCCCTGTATTCTAATGCAAAACCGGGTTCACCACACCTTTACTGTGAGGTGATTCTCACTCAGAGTCACCTTAGAATAGAAATATGGAACATGCAAATGTATACTCTCACGTATATATACAGTAACTTATATATTAAAGGGACCGTACCTGATTTTATTGATGCAATAAAGCAGCATTTATTTTGTTCCACTACAGACAATTTGTAATATAATGCGGTTTATCATCTGCAAACCAAGAAATGTTCTGTTAGCATCTAGTTGTAGGATTACAGTGATGGCAAAACCTTCCTCTGGTGTCAGAAAGTTGTTAAAATTGCTTGTGAACTCATTGCTGGGAAAATTTGGGATGCTAGGAATACGTTCAGAAAGTGAAGGATAACTTTGGATCACTGCAAAAAAGTTTAAAGTAAAGTAGTAAAAATCAGGTACAACACCTTAAATTAGAGATATCAGCACTGAACAAGACTGTTCTTAGCATGTTGTAAATATTTATAATACTTTTTGTTTTGTTTTATGTTGAAAACCACTATGATGTTTATCAGCGCTCCACACGACTGATTTCAGATTAGATGTGTATTTTTCTATTCCAAAAGAAAGAGTAAAGTAATAACTCAAGTTTGAAATACTATATATTGTCTGTCCAGTTTGTATTCAGCAGAATTAAATGAAGTTCTTTTTCTAATGCAACTATTTTTGTTTTTTATATTTTCACCCTTTAACTTTATGTGAAACTTAAATAATGAACTTGGCTTCTTTGGTAGGACTTTTGTGAACCGCCATAACATAGCTGTGAATGTTATGAATAAAAAGCCTTCCACAAACCATTAAAAGTGCTCATCTCTCTGCCCACACATACACTTGTCTATATACAACTGAAGGCTGTATGTTATTATATTCAACTGTCTCTATACCTGATGGTCTCTTGACAATTCAAAATATTGGTTCCATAATATAAAATGCTGGGTACACGCTCTCAATACAGCACATATGAAAAGCAATTCTCTAAACATACAGTTGTGACATGTCGCAGTCACACCCAGGAGACAGCATTCCTCTCTAACTGTGCATTCAAACAGAACGAGAAGGGGAACAGGGCAAATATATGGGGATGGGTGAGTGAAGGTGCCCAGTGTCCCTCTACAGTAGTTTAAATTCATTATTCATTTGATGGCCTGTTTGACAAATGAAGAGCGATATTCAAAATAGAGTATCCAGCGGCTATTCAAGCTCTGAAAGGACAGAAAGAGCAATATATTTATATATTTCCAGCCCTGTCTCTTATGCTTTTAACTATAGGCTACTGCATAAGCCAACATTTTATATGAATACAAATGACTCACAAATGTCGCACTCACTCAACTTAAAATCAGTAACAGGGATAGACTGAAAAACATGTCAGCAACAATAATTGGTAATTTGGCTAATACTGGAAGCATCCCAATGAGATACACCAATTGGCTAACATTGTGTTTGAGTTTATATTTTGATCTTCTGTTAAGTGTTAAAAAATATGCAATGTGAACTGAATTCTGATAAAACATAAATCCAAATATTGCAAAATTCCAGCTAGTTTTATAGGCTAGACAACTAGACTTTGACTAAACTAGACTAATTTAGATTTTTTTCTGAAATTTGTTTAGCTCTATAGTTTAAGTGGAACTAAACAGTAAATCCACTTTGTTTTACTACTAGACTGTGTATATGGTATTTTAATTGTAATTTTTGGCAACTTTAGAGCAAACTAGGCAAATTTACAGCTTGCTGGTCAAAAACACCTAAATCTAAACATGTGCTGCCTTCAGTGGGCTCTGCAATTTTGAGTAGTTGCTGAGATCACGCAGAACTGCCCAGATTTCAGTGTTTCAAGTGTTTCTGATCACAAACACCTTCCTGCAGGGTGGAGTTTGAAGTGTGAATCCTTGTTAGAACAATCAAACTGTTCCTTATACCCCCAGATCCCTCACTCTCTTCTTTGGTCCTGTAGGCACTGCCAAGTTTGGAATTTAGGTGTTTAGTCCCACCTTAAAATCAAATATCAATATCTGATGTTGTTTTAGTGCCCTGTCTTTTTGTTTCTTTACATATCCTTGAACCAGTGAGTGAGAAAAATGACACATAACTTTGGTACTTTAAAATTAAACAGGACAAGCTGAGTCAATATAAAAAGCATACTGGCCTTATAAAATATGTTTTTAAATTGGAATTTCAGAAATAGCTGATGTAAGATCCAACATCTAAAAACAACCATTTAAATCATCAGGGTTTGCGTCATCAAATCACAGAAAATAGGTCTTGCAAAAGAGAGCATAGATCTACATATATTTCTGGATAAGCAGTGCATTCTCAAAGCTTTTTGCTCTGAGAAATACCAAATGAATGATGCTAATCGGCAATATTTTCATAAATGATCACGTGACCTTTCTGTACACTGCACTTAAAGTGCCATCTTAAGGTAATCATATTTCTGTACTAAAACCTCATGAACACTGTAAAAAGAGAGAGATACTTTATTGATCTCAAGGGAAATTCAAATTGTGATGCAGCAAAATTTACACCATGCTTCTCAGTTGAATTTGTGTCTCAGTCAAAGGTATTGAGTCAATTTAACAGAAGGACTGGTCAGGAACACTCTGCAGATCTGTGTCAGGCAGTTTGAGGACACAGTTCTCAGGACAAAAGTGTCCAAGTCCAGTGTAAAAATCCAGAGCAAAAATGTCATCAGATTTTTACATTTATAAAAAAATATATATATAAACTGACCACAAGATAGATTACTATATAATACATGTACTATACAAAACTAACACAGTGGCAAATGGAAGTGAAAGTGATTAGTTCAATATAAACAACTAATCTCATCTCTGTATGTTACTGTGTGAATTATTTGAAATATGAAAATGATGTAATTCTTTTCCCTGTCCTGTTTTAGTCATGGGGATTGTCACACTAATTGATTGAGACACTAATGACACAAAATGAATGTGAATTTTGATGTGTTGGCTAATACAGTTATGTGGGCTGTGGGGGGCTCTGGGGAAAGTTGAATCTCCTCATTTTAAGTTGGGTGGGACCAATGGCGTAGCATTCGGCAGTGTAGCTGGGCCCATGGCACTTTGAGGGCCCATCTCAAGCTAGGACTGTCCCCGCTCCCCAGGACAGACTCAGTATAAACAACTGTCAACATAAACGATGTGCTGAATTGCGCACCCCCTGGTCCCCAATTTCCACCATCTCCAGTGATTGCATGATCATGTTTGACTGGGCTTGAGATGCAAAGGACCAGACTGATATCAATCTGTATAAAACATACTGAGAGATATCATTCTGGATTTACCAGGCAACATTCACTATCAAACAGAAACAGAAAATGTAGTAAAATATCTGTGGTGAGCATAACCACAGTTATTAGTAAAATAGAAAAAGAAAATCAACACACCAAGAAATAAATATAAAACATGATTTTTTAAGGAAGCGCTTCTTACAGATATGT